TGACTTGAAATCTCTTATTTTTCTCCATTTATATATATATATATATATATCAATGTCGAGACGATCAATTAAATATTTTTTCAACACCAAAACAACCTTATTCAAAAGATTTTAGAGGTACCCCTTAACTATACATTTTAAGGTGTCAAACCTTTCATAAAAAAATTTCTCCATTTATATATAAGTTTGAACAGAAGATAAAAATCATGGCCTGTTAAGAAAACAACCTACATGGCCTTTTTTTCTTTTAAGACTTTAGCCCGCGTCGGTTTCAATTTTGGAAGATGGCCTTGCCACCTCCACATAAAGCGTAATAAGAAAGGCAGTTTGACCATTTTGCCCCTGATTGTGCTGAAAAGGATAGTAAAGACTCTTCCTTTCCTCCCTCCTCTCTCTGTCTTTAAAACCCACTAAGCTTCCCTCCACATAAATCTCTCCCTCTCTATAGTCTGTTTTTTTTAACCACTCCGCCTACTGCTCAGCTTTCGTTAAGGGTGGCAACTCGGGTCCGGCGGCTGGACCCCGGCCTAACCGTACCCGATCGACCCTGAACCAAAAACAAAAAGAACAAAATTATTTATATGTATAGAAAACACTATATAACGCCTATAGGTAAAATGAAGAGTGATTTCGTCTCTGCTTATCACCTTCCAAAGTTTATCGCACGGTCACAGTTGTCTAGTAGTGTTTTAATTTTCATTTTTTTTTATAAATCAGAATGATCTGAAATTTAAAACCTTAGATATGAAAAAGTTTATATAACCTTACAACCTTAAAATGTATAAATAAAGATGCACCTCAAAAATCCATCAAAAAAAGTTGTTTTAATGTTGAAAAACCCTCTAATTGATCATCTCGACATCAAGACGTATGAATATGAAATATATATATATTGAATCCCAACAATAGTGCATCTTGCTACACATTATCTAGACCGTCCATTTTCAATATTTTCATATGTTTATAGATCTACTTTATTTTAACCATTTTTGGAGTTTCAAGTTTTTTAATTAGATATGAAAATAGATTTTGGGATGATCCTAAGAATGTTTTGCACCAAAACTATATGTTATGATAAATTTTGGAGATGCAATTGGATTGTTTAAAGTTGCCACCGTATAGAAACCACACCATTAAATATATTCATGTATTATATACACGTTGTGGTTTCTATAAGATTGCAACATTAAACAATCCAATTACGGCGCACCTACAAATATTATCATAACATGTAATTTTGGAATAAAAAATTGTTATGATTATTTAAAAATCTATTTTCATATATCATTATAAAATGTTACTCTAAAAATGGTTAAAACCAGATAGATCTATAAATACATGAAAATCTTGAAAATAGATGGTCTAGATAATGTATTGCAAGATGCACTATTTCTTGAACTTAAAATCTTTTTGTTTTTCAATACTAAACCAACATTTTCCCATAGATTTTTGGGGTGTATCTTTAATAATATTATGATTAAAAATATATGATTATATTTATTTAAATATTATTAAAATATTATATATTAAATATTATTTACATAATAACACTATTTGAGTCGAGGTCAGGTCCACATAAACAATATTTACACTCAAACCCGATCCTCCGGTTTCAATTCTTGCACCCATACCAAGACCCATGTCGAATCCGATCGTCAGGGTCCCAGTTCAGTTCAGATCCGGGTCCATTGCCACCCCTAGCTTTCCTCTCTATCCCAACCCGAGGGAACCAACCTCAAAAGCCATCTCAAGTCCCTTAAGGTCATATCACTGTCAATGGGGAAGCTAAATGTGGAGGCCATCATCACACAGTTCAGACACCTTCACTAGCTCTAGCTCACTAACCTCGCTGCCACGGTGGCACCATTCACTACCCACCAAGTCCGTGCTCTTGCGGCTTTCACCTATACCACCCAGGCCTATTGATGCACGCCACCCCAAGCCCAACCAATGGTAGGATTCTTAAGCATGCATGGCCAACTAGGTGGGTCAGGGCAAACTATGGGTTCGGGCCATGTGGGAAGACTAGTACCTGGACAAGTCTGCGGCGTAGGAGCGCCAGGCATTGTGTGCAGAGTTACGGGGGAGGGGCACCCAGAGCGGTGGGCACCGCAGGGCTCTGGGCCGGGATCTATTGGCGCACCACAAGGCTATGCTGCCCAGCAGCCTGGAGCGGTGGTGGACAAGGGAATAATGTGTTGATGGCAGTGTACGAAAAATCGAACCGGAACGGTTAATTATATATAGGCTTGGAAGCCGTTCAACCGGTCTAACTAGTAAACCAGTCAGTTCAACCGTTCTAATCGGGCCAGTCTCGGACAATCAAAAAAATGTTAGAAAAAATAAAAAAATTACAAAAAAAACCTAATAAAATATGAAAATTATATTTAAAGAATGATTAAACAAAGCACATCCTAATGAAGTTGGAAATTGATGAAACAATGGATTTTAAAAAATCTAATTGTGCCATGGGTTTTTAAAAAAAATTTAAAAAAAGATGAGAAAATGTTAAAATAAGTATTAATTGCCAAATCAATTTCCAATATTTGTCATAATGATGAAAAACATTAAAAATACATTACAAACAAAATCCCTTATGTTTTGGGATTTTATATAACTTTTTAAAAAAATTTAAAAAAAAATACCCTGCCAGTCACCGAAACCAGCCAAAACGGAACACGCCAGTAGCCGAATCCAATTTTGAGATTTTATATATTTAAAAAAAAAATTAAAAAAATATCCAGCCAATCACCAAAACCAGCCGAAACGGAATAGGCCAGTAGTCGATTCCAATCTAACCGAACAGTTAACGGTTAGAACGCCCTACCTTCAATGGTTGATGGAGACTATTGTGCAGGCGTGTATGGGGGGTATGGCAGACCAGATGGTGCAGAATCTTTTGAGGCAATTGTTGGGAGGTAGGGGGAATGGTGGGGGCAGTGGCAATGGTGGGGAATGGTGGCGGGGAAGAGGATGTTTTCTGTGGGGTTGTGAATGTAGGGTCTAATGAGTACTCTTGACTTTACCGATAAAAGAGCAAGGGATAGGAAACGGGGCTTTGATTCTTTGTTCAAAAAGGGGTAAAATGGTCTATTCGGCCTCTCAATATGCTTTGTAGAGGGAAGGCTAATTTCCTAAAATTAAAACTTGCACTGGGCCAAAGTATTAAAGAAAGGGTGAGGATCGTATAAGGTTGACACCTTATACTATAAAAGTAAGGTGTACCTCAAAACTATGTCAAAAATGCGGTTTCCTTATCACAAAGCTTTGTAAGGATATGAAAATCTGTACCTTAAAACCATGCCAAAAATGCAATTTCGGTGCCGCAGAGCCTTGCAACGATATGAAAATCTCACCTTGCAATGACATGAAAATCTCACCTTACAATGATATAAAAAATCTATTATTTCCCTCAATTATGAAATTTGAAGTTTTAGAAACGATTACGAACAAGATTATCTATAAACATTTAAAAAAATCTTGAAAATAGAGATCTAGATAATATGTTAAAAGATGAATTATTTTTAATATTAGAAATCTCCTTTTTTCCATGTCTATCTCAAGGTCAAGATGACCGATTTAAGAGCTTTTCATCATAAAAACAACCTTCTTTAGTAGTTTTTTAGGCGCACCTTACTACAAGGTTGACACCTTTTATAAACTTCTAGAAATAATACAGTACGTTTTTTTCTTAAAAAGCACAAAAATCATTTAACAAATAAACCATGGTATTAAAAGGTCCTGCCCTATGATTCAAATTTTTCAAAAGAGGATAGGCTTCAAGAAGAGCAACTCATCTCCCCCATACATCCATAGGTATGGAAGATGGGACTTTGGGCCCGAGTACCCAACTCTAACTTCTACAGCCTTCCGGCATATGAACACGTGTTAAAACTAACGACCAAGTGTGCGAGGTGACAGTCGGCTTGTGTCTGTCTCGAGAGAGAGAAAGAGAGATGGTTCTACCACATGGACGCAAACAGCCTGACCACCACACCCACACACTGGTGAGAAATGTTCAAAAAATTCTTGTGAGAAATGTTCAAAAAATCAGACTGATGGTTCGAACCAGCCAACCATTCCTAATCAAACCGATTGAGTAGGTGACTCAACTCAGCCAACTAAGCAAAATTTCAAAAAAGCATAGACATTCTAAAATGTGCAATTTATATAAGCCGGTAACCTTACTTGTCAAAGGCTATTATGATATTCTACACCGTCCATACTAATTGGACAGTATAAATTTAAATGTAATTTAAATGTATCTTAAGATTCTGTAAACAATTGACACAAACTTTTAAGATAATGCAAACACACCATCCTCGTCAAATAAAATAGACAGTGTAGATCAATACAACCTGTACTATTTGTATAGAGCCTAGACCCCAAAAAAAGAGTCGACCTTCAAATAGTATTAATAAATATGAATTCAATACCAAAAATCTCTTTGATAGCCTTAAAATATATTTTCATCTTTATTTATAAAGTTTTAATACCGAAAATCTTTTTGATAGCCTTAAAATATATTTTCATCTCTATTTATGAAATTTAGAACTTCAAAAATAATGTAAATCCAAAGATTTATGAAAACTTGAAAATTGACAGGTCAAGCAATACGTTACAAAATACACTATTTTCAACACTTAAAATCCATTTTTTTTCTCAATGCATCTCAATTTCGAGATGATCAATTTGAGGATCTTTGGACATCAAAACAGCCTCTACTAATGAAACTTTTGAGGTAAGATCGAATTTGATTGTTTAGAGCCTCAGCTCTATATAAACTTTTCCCAATTATAAAAAGTTCAAAAGGAAAAAAACAAATCATGTCACTAATCCACACCATCCATTTTACATCCATTTTATTTTGGTTAGTATAAATTTAACACTGTCTAGTGCCATTCTATGAGAGTCTTCAAAATACGTCAAATTTACATCCAAATAAAATAAAAAGTGCAAAACATCACAACCTGATACAAGTTAGGTTACAACCTCATACAGACTTTAAATGTCTCATCCTCTATATAAACAGACCATTTTCTTTGGATACAAGGACGTCACAGACCCTACGCCAGATTTCATTTCAAACTTCGTAACATCCCAAACTAACTTGATAATGACCTCCTTACAATAAGGATAAATGGTCTCATAGTATATAATTCCCATGAAAATCCTTTTTTAATATGATTTACACGTGAGCTAGAAGATGTTCCGAGTTGGCGAAAGGGAAAAAACAAAAATCAAACGACGACTGCTGGATCCGGCTCAACTTGGGCGATCACAAGTCAACACCAATTTTTTAACCCTCTTTCTAAGCTCTCTCAATCTTGCATTTTAAGCCAAAACAACCAATTAGCCAAGTGATGCTGCATGGAACCCAATCCTGGCAACCAAGTGGGGCATACATAACCAAAAAATTAACAAATACAAAAAATAATTCAGTTTCGCTTGAACTCCGTTTAATCAGTCATTTAACTATCGACTTATAGCCAAGATCAGGAATCTCTATAATAAAAAAAGCCAGCACTCCCACATATACTAGTCTCAGTCCCTACTAGACTTCCAAAATTAGAACAAAAAGATGAGGATATGGCCATACAAGAGCTTCAGGTCAAAGCCTCGATTTCGGTGACAACAGGGGGCGGCCTGGCATATTCATCCTCCTCCTTTGGGGTGTGAATTGTGACAAGATCAGGGAGAGGCGTGGTCGGACCCTGCTTTCCCTTTGGATCCCAATCGAGCATGATTTTGACTTTGATGCCAAGGACGCCCTGATATTCAGAAGAATTAAGAACTTCACAAGAATGCAGAAAACAAAGACAAAGAGAACGTGGTTTTAGAGTAGAAAGAATGGCAGCAGTTAAAATTTTTTAAAGGGATGAACAGTAAAGAGAATGTGGCTTCAGAGTATAGAGAAAGGCAGTTGCAAGTTTTTACAAGGATGACCTGTAATAAGAAAAAGCCTTTAGAAGGGTTTTACCAGAAGGACAATAAAAATAAGATACTACAATACTGGTATGAGGGGAGAAAAGGGAAAAGGTAAATGACATCTTTTTACAAGAGTTTTATGGAGGATGGAAAGCTTAAGGATAAGTAATTTGCACTATTTGTAGATATTGGACATCCCAAGTTCATCCTTTCTACCAGAGAGAGAGAGAGAGAGAGAGAGAGATGGGGAGGGGAGAAGCAGACCATCCACTGCAACCCCCTTATATACACAGAGAAAGAGGGGCTGATGGAATCCACTACAAACCCGCACCCCCCCGCAAACCCCCCCCTTCTCCCCAACAAAAAGAGAGAAATTCTTTTGCAAGCATCAAAGGTGAATTAGAATTTCAGTATCACCTGTCTGAGCAAGACATGCCTCACAGCTGAATCGATGTATTCATTCACAGGCTGGCCGGAAGAGATCATGTACCCATCCTTAAACTTCATGGACTTTGCACGTTGGGCACGCAGTTTCCCACTCACAATCACCTATAAGTGATAAATAAAAATATAGATACAATGAAAAATCTAAATTCTCATTTCCTTTTGGCACCATGGAATTTCATACAGGAGTATGTTCCACGATGAACAACATACCTCACATCCCTTGGCCCCACTTTCCATGATGAACCGTAACACACCATAACAAGCCCTGAAGCAACAAAAGATCAAATGCATCATATACCCTTCTCAGATGCCTCTGAACACTACATATAGACGAGGAGGCAAAAGACCCACGTAGTTTTTTGTTTTTTTTTAAGCAAAGATTCCTTCAATTTTTTTAAATCAAATGCAAAACAAAAAAAATGTAAAATGAATACCACCATAGACAATCTGGGCAATAAAAGATGCTGAACAAAGGTTCTAACCGAAAAAAACAATTATTCTTTCAGGAATCAGTTAAGCAATCTATACAGGGCAATGGAACAGATAAGGGGACTTATTTACAAGCTAAAGGTAGCAATAGTAGTCAGATTTTCCAAATGAAGAGGAAATCCCAGAGGCATCTTTGTGTGTGTGTGTGGTTGGGGGGGGGTGGGGGTGGGGGGGGTGGTGGAATGAATGATCACAAGGAGCAGGAAGAGATTGGGGAGGGTTCTAGAACTATTCTTAGAAAGATACCAAGAGAAAAAATAACTGATCCAGCAATTGGAAGAGAACAACCAAGGGGACAAAAGGAGATAGTATGAACGTGAGCATGCATAAGATAGGGATTTAGCATCATCTAATAATCTAAGATTGCTTTTATCGTCACCCAGGTCTAGGGGAGGAGACTTAAGTGCATGTTCTTTTCTTATTTCCTTTTACTTTTCCTAGGGTTCAGACGTAGGAGGGGAGCACAATCAACAGGACAAAAGAAACTCAAATGGCTTAAAGAAAGGAGAAAGGTTAGAAGGGTAAATTCAAATTTTGGGTCAGAAGAAGGCCTCCCTTCACAACCTAGCAAAACAAGAAAGCAAGAAAGAAATAATGAACCCAATAGAAAGAGATAAACATCTTGTAGATTAGTGTGTCAAGAGGAAGAGTTCAATGATATTGTAAATATGACTGCACCTAAATCAAAAGATACGAAATTAGGAGGGAAATATTTATTCTCACCATATTTATTACAATGGCTTATAAGAAGTATAACCCAAAGTATCAAACTAACACACATGCATAAAGAAAGCCAAAATGCCAAATTCAAATCCAGACATCAGAATCTTTATCACAGAACGACGTGCGCACATGATATAGGAAATAATCTAACTGCCAAAGTAAATATGTACCAAAGAATGAAGCTAGGGAATGAAGAAAATCTCAAATAGATTTTTTCCTTTTTTTTTCCAAGTTAACCAAATCTTATTCAAATCAATTGTAACCATTGATATAGGGTACTAATCATTTAACCGCTCCAAGCTTCACCAAAGAAATTATTATGGGCATTCCAGCTCAGAGCGGCAAAACTAGATCTCGTCATCTTCCGACACAATAGCAGAATGATAATGACTGATTTGCTTTATAGATGACTAAAATAAGCACAAAAAAACAGATCAAAAGCATGAAAAAGGAAAATCAGCTGGGTAACTTTGAGTGACCCCAGTCACATGCCCTAGATATGCAAATGGAACAATGCAGCCTCAAAGAGTTGCAAGAAATGCAGAATGCTGATAGACACTATGATTTACTCACAATAAGGAAATATGGAGCAACTAGTCCTTACATCTATGTGATGTTTCATGGACATGATAGTAGGTGGAAGAGAAATCAATGGAAGGAAATGAAAGCAAAAAAATGAAAAATTAGTTGTGTTCTTAATATTGTGTGTGCACTCCAATTTTTACAAAACCAACTTCTATAAAACAGACAACCAGAGTCCCTTGAAAATAAGCCATTTTGCACTCCAATCTCATGCCAATGGAAATTCTAGCCTGAAGGAGTAATATTGAATTTAGCCACATCAGATCAGAGTCCCATTAAAATAAAACCATGTTGCACTCCAAGCTCATGACAAGATGGCAAAATCAAGCCATCCTTGGAACTCTAGCTTGGAAGAGCAGTATTGAATTTAGTCATCCTCAGACACAAAGTCGGCAAATAAAACTCCGATTTGCTGTAAAGATGACCATAAGATAAGGGTGGAACCCTAAAGCAAGTACACAAAGACATGTAAGCAACAGAAATACATGACGAGTATTTGTTCACACAAATTATAGGGAAACTCGATTTGCCTTGTGAACAATGACAAAAGGCATGAACAAACATATTAATGTTGAATGAGGCGGGCGGTTCATAATCCGCCAACAAGGGAAATACAAGCTAAGAAAAAAGAAGCTTATCCATAAATACCTTCAGCATTACTTTGTGTGCCTGTTTAGGAGTGAAGGATGGGTTGGGAGGCAGAATCTTTGAGGTTCTGAAGAGGTGAAATTAAATCGTCAAAGATTGCAACGAGGACCCAGGATTTCATTCTTCCGCATATTTTTGGTTGCCCAGATAAAAGACTTAAGATAACTGATCATTTTCTCAAGATTTTGAAAGATGGGAGGCTTCCAAAAAGAGAGAAACAAGGATACTTCAATTTTAATTTAATAAGAGACATGGAGAGTCAATCTTTTAGCCACTCCGAGCTTCCACCAAAATAAATTTATGCAAGTTCATGGAGACCCAGCTCAAAGCAGCAATATTCAATTTCGTCATCTTCCGACACAACATCGGTAGAAATAATGACCGATTTGCTTTATAGATGACCAGAAATAAAACAAGGAAAAAATGAAACAAATGCAAATGGAGTAAATAAAAGAACACAATCATGCATCCTACATCCAGGAAAAACCAATCCCATATTGCATGGACACAGGTAACTGTGCCTAAGCCAGACACGGCTATCAGGTGTTGAATTCTTCATGCAATGAATAAAAGCAAAAAAATGATATATTGTAACGGGACAAAAATATTCCACAATATATACATATATTCATTCTCATTCTGAGTAGCCAAAAAATCAACAATGTCATAATGGGCACAACTAATACATATTTATCAAATTCATACAGGTCTAAAAAGAAACTCAAGTCCCTATAATGGTGTAGTCAATGGTTAGTGAAGAAAGAAAAAAAAAACGGGAAAGAATCTAAGTCAGAATGTGTGGTCAATACATGTCCATCACGAGCAAGGCACCAAATAAAATAAACTATGTAACATACTACTAGTTGGGTGCCTTGAAGTAAGGAACAGTGTAGTGGGACTCGGCCTCACCTGAGCCCCATGGGCGTGGCCAAGCACCCCTGAGTTGTGTTTACAACTCGGGGCATTTTAAAAAAACAAAAAAAAGACAAGAAATTGTAAAAAAAATAAAATATCTTATACAAATTTTTCTTATATATTTACATGTATTTGGCAAAGATTGATGAGTGTTTTTTTGCCATAATCAAATATTTATATTTCCTTTTTTGGATTTTTTTAAAAATCCCAATTTGTAAATTGGGTTTTTTTTAAATCCATTGTTCTCTACCCTTTTAACATTGTTTTAACTTTTTAAAGTTGTTCTAGATTTGAATTTACTTCTATTTTTTTTTTTTTTATAAAGTTTCTAATTTTTTAATTTTTTTAGGCCCTGTGCTGGACACAGTCGAGTCCTCGGGCAGGGGGTAAGTTCACTGCCAGAGGCGCAGCCCGGCGGACAGGTTAAGAACCACAATAACACAGTTTGAAGGATTTGCATGTAACAGAAGCTTGATAAACATTACAAGAATATCCTATGAGAATATATGAAATCACTGGACACCAGCAAAAATTGTGATATTTAGCAGAAATCAAATGCAAGAGGATGAGTAAGCCATAAAAGTCATTGCGAAACATTGGGAAAAACATCAATAGCATATATATAGGGAAATAATTTCATGCCACTGTCATTGTAATATAATGAAACCAGACTTCTAGATAATCATATTTGTGGCCTTTGTATGACCCACATTTTGCATGGGCACTCTCTTCATCCCAAATATCTATTTCAAAATAATAATAATAATACTTTGCACCATAGATATGGTCAAAATGAACCCCCCTTCAAAATGAACCCTCTTCAATAGATCTAGGCCTTAAGAAACTCAAAATCATTTTTTCTTTTTTTTTAAATTGTTCATCTAATGATAACAAAACCATTTAAAAAATTTCGAAAAGGATAAAAAATCCCTCAAAGGCCTAGAATCTTAAGTATCTCACTAAACAGACGGCCTATGCGAAGTAGGTCGAAAAACACTTTTCCGGGTGCATTTTCAAATTTTATTTTTTTATGATTGCCCATCAAAATGAAAAAAGCATGTGGAAAATTTGGAGTCAAACAAATGGTCCTAGCAAGGTTTTTGAGGATTGTTTCATTATATGACTATAAAACCATAGATGAAACAACTCCCAATGTATATGTTTTATATATGACACAGTTTTTTATTTTAAGGGTTCCTACATTTCCTTGTGACAGATGACCAAAGAATTGTGACAATATCTTGCCCTCCAAGCTTGTGCAATGAGAGAAAAATCAATGCATTTCTTGAAAAACGGAATTAAAAAATAGCTTGAAAGAGCAATACTGACTATTGAATTTAGTCATCCACAAACATCAAATCAACATGGAAAGGCAATTGAAAAGGTCACCTTGAGACAGAGGGCAGTACTTTCAAGCAAGTACACCATGCACCTAGAAGATAATTGAGTAAGAAACACTGGATGAAACACCATTTACGATAATGATTACTGGTGACTGGTGAGTCCAACTCCTCATGTAGAAAACGACTACAAGAATATTAGAAACTTAATAAGGCTCGAAGGAAGGGGTGTCCCATTTACTGCCTGACTAGTCTTGCACTGACTAAGGCTAATTTCCATGGAATGTCTATGTTCAGATGTCAAATTCTACACTATGCATATTCTAAAAGAATTTTAGTGGCTGCATTCCATGGAAATAAATACATTGTTCAAAGGAACACACATTTATATGTATATTGTATGTATTTCCTCCAAATATCTATGTATGTATATACATATACATATAAAGAGAGAGAGAGAGAGAGAGATTGTGTGAGCGATTGCATGATAACAAACACGCGCTATTCAATGCTACTATTCAATGTAACTTCCCAAGCAAAAAAAAGCTATAGATATGCGAACATGATTCTTTGACATCTTTTTATAATAATACTTCAACATGAATTTCATCATAATTTCAAGGAGAATGAAAAAAATCTCTCCATGATACCTCCTGACAGCAAGTCCTCCAAGCAGTTTGTATCGGAGGGACTCCGCTTGGGCAATGGCACAAAGACCCCTGTTGTTCACCTTCTCAGCATACAACTCAACGCTGTTCTCAGGAAAATTGAACCTTTTCTGGACCACAGATGTTAATTCTCTGATTCTCCGGCCCTTTTCCCCTGCAAAGCCAAAAATCACATGCTTAGAAAGCATTTGTGCATAAAGTACCTAAAACAACAATAAGAAATTCCATATCTTAGTCTGAAATCTTCAAATTTACAATATTCTAATTAATTACATAGACCCCCAAATTTACACATTTCTAAAAGACAATTGTTCCAATCACCAACAAAAAAACCTTTTTGGCTGCACAGAAAATAAATCAACAAAAAAAAAAGAAAAGCATCTATGCAAATAAATAGATCATATCTGTTATCACATCCTCCAATTGATCCAGTGCTTTTGGAATGCATTCGTGACAATTTCAATAGTTTGTTTCATTATTTAGAGAAATTTCCTCATGAAACAATGTTTTCAAGAAACTATAATTGCATTTTGGTTTTTAGAATATAAAAATTTTCACCATTCTCCATCCCAACATTCACTCCTTCGAAAATCCTTTTTTGCACACAAATTCACATCTGGTTCCCAATTGCAGACAGGGAGCAGCAAAAATCACATGTTAAAAAATGACAGATCACGATTACCACTATCAATGATGTAGGAAGCCAATACTTCATAACCCGTTTGCAAGAATGATGCAGGAAGAAAACACTTCATAACCCATTTGACTTGCAATCAATATAATCTGAGGAGAATCAAAATCCATGAACTATGTGTTTCCATTTCTAAGATGCTAAATTGCTTCGATGGTGTTTGATATTCTTGGTATATATCGATCGTCTAGATATAGAAGAAACATAAAAACAATTCTTTCCAATTATCTTCAAATATGTACGCCAATCAATTTCTTGTGGGTTTATCCCCAAAGACACAATTCCTTGATTCATACATTAATCTCTCTCTAAAGATTATGTCATTACTTTTATTTCCCCTGCATTAAACCCATCAAAAACCCTCACTTGGCATCATTTTTCTTGTGATAATTTGAATTGGTTAGGCAGTATGTGGTTGATAAACATGGATAAGTTTCATCCCTGTGCTTGTATTGTTTTGGGGTCAAGTTACCAAAACCTTTCTCACCAGTCACCCTCACATCTAATCCAAAGCATCAAAAGGAGAAGGAGAAAAAGAGCAAGGAGTTTACCTCTTAGTTATATTAAAGAGAGAAATCGTTAGGTATAGACAAAAAAAACTTATGCAAATAATTGGTCACAAAAAATAGGCTTGGTTTTGATATTTGGTACTTGGTTTTTTTTTTTCCTTCCAATAAATCCTAACCTCTACTTTTCATCCTGCTTATTTTAGAAGAAAATTAATAATAGGAAATATATTTGTGAATTAATTTTATATATTTTGAACAATAGGTAGGGCAGCTTGCAAGGTATTCAATAGAATGCCTATGACAATACAGATTTCAAGGACTGCCATGATTGTTAGTATCTATGCTCTCCTAAGATTGTTATAGCTCACAAAATGCTCGACATCCTCAAAGAAAAACTTCATTTCATATAAATTCTTATTCTTAGTCAAACAGTTCAAACTATCAAATCCCTAAGAATTATGAAATGTAAGTAGACAGACACACAAGAAAACAGATACTGATATAATATGTAATCTAAAGGTATGGAAACCCAATAAATCCCTTATATAAATTATAAAAAATTTGAAAATTTTCAAATCTTGTTTCCTTAAACATGCCCTTAACCTCAATTCCATCTCCACATTTTAGTCTGAATGATAAATCAAGAGAAAAAAATAAGTGACTATACTCCAAAACCTTTTATTGTGCCAATAACACCAGGACCTCATATTTACTCTCAAAAAATAATATAAGAAACCAAAAAAATTGAGGCAAAAAAAAATGACGCACATAGAAAAACCATAAAAATATAGAGAAGATATAAATTTTACCAAGCACATTCTGGGTTCTGGTTGCCCTGATAATAATTTCAGTTCGCATTGGTGTTACCCTAACTTCCACGCCAGAGTATCCATCCTCTGCTAGTTCTCTTGTCAACACTTCATTGAGTTCAGCGAAAAAAACACCATCTGCTACGAACTGGAAACCAGAAAAAATGAATCAGAACTTCATTCATGGATTATTCCTTGGAAAAATGGGGACAGGCAACCCATCCGGATTAGTTCAGTCACAAAACAGATCAATAACCCTGACCCAAATTTTCCCCATAATAAGAACATAGAACAATAAATTAACCCTGATTGGTTTCTTATTAACCAGTAATAATAATAAAACTAACCCTAAACTGTAAACCTCGCTTGTTGAAAGCAACAGACTGGTGCAAAAAGTCTAACCCTAATCTTATCCAGAAAACGGATCAGTATAAGATGCCAACTCATGAAATGAATGAAAAAGCCTAATCCATGCCGGGAAACAGCGAGAGGGGAAATCCTAGAACTAATCCATGATGAAAGACTAAATAGATGTCGAAAATGATAAATCAGACCTTGAATCACCTAAGGAAAACGAATCATTTAAATTGAAAAACACTCACCTTCCTCTTCTTACTGATTTGAGTCACCATGATTACTTGAAGAACCGAGCGAGGGTTAAGCGGCTCCTGCTCTTAGCTCCAGAGGTAAAATAAATCGCAGCGTTCACAACTCTTTGAAAAACCCTAGCAAGAAGGCGAGCATAAAACAAGCCCTTTATAGGCGAGTCTGGCGACTACATGAAGAGCTAGAAGACTATGATCCATGTGACTTTGTTAATAGTTTGGTCACATGTAAAATCACCGTTAACCTTACTTCTTTTGAACGGTGATGGATGGACGGTACGTATTGCTACTTTTGAATGGTGATGGATGGAAGTTACGTTCCCATTAAGCCCAAAAAACAAAATAAAAAATCAGTTTTTCTTCTCACACCATTACTAACCGTTTGATTCAATGATGGGCGTTGATCGCCCACTCAAGATAGTATTGTTGGGATCTGTGTGGCATAGAGATGATAAAGTAAGGGATATCCGTGCAATTAACTTACTTTTTATGAAGAAAATTTGTTTATGCGGGATGAACCGCGTTTTTACCGGAGGTATTGTGGTCCACCTAAAATCAAGTGTAACTAACGGTCCTAATGTGGATTTAATATAATTATTATTTTTAATTTTCATTTTTTCATAATCATGATCTCTTTGTTAAAGATTATGCATTCTCTAAAAATTATGGTGAAATTATATTTATGGCCAAACCCGCATTTTTACAATATGCGGGCTGGCTGCATAGAAACCATATCCTTTTACTAATATATGTGGTTTGTATAAGGTGTCCACCTTAAATAATTAAGTAAAGGGCACCGCTAGATCTTTTTAAGATATGCAATTTCATCATTGAAAGCCCTTGTGATAACTTAAAAATGTATTCAAACCTCTAATTGAGTATTGGAACTTCAAAAGTGATGTAGATCATACCAATTTATAAAGTATAAATGCTTCGAAAATTTGAAAATGGAGAGTTTAGACAATGTGTATAATATATATTACTTTAGGACCTGAAATCTTTTTTTTTTTTTTTCTTGCATCTTTACATGATGAAGCCGAGATGATTAAATGTAAGGTCTTTGGACATTGAATAACCTTCTCAAGTGGAGATGCGCCTTATTTCCATAGTATAAAGCTTACTGTTAGACTTTTTATTTGCTAAATGCCCAATAACCCTCACTTTTTCCTTCTAAGGAAGACCGAGGACTTGGAAATTTACTTAAATTATCACTAATGTTTCCTTTTCATAAATCTAATTTGACTTTTCATTTAGAACAAAGAAAAAATGTTTTATGCCAAGGTTATTTGGATGACAATTAATTTTACTATTTAATCCAAAATGAATATGTTTTGAATGAGGAAAATTGTTTCATGTGTGCTAGATCACATTTCTACAATATGCAGTCCCAAGGTATAAAGCATTCATCTTAACTATATATACAAATAGGTGGTGCATCTAAAAACAATTGAAACTAACAGTCCAAATGTTTTCTTCATGAAATCATTATTTTATTTCTTAAATTTTTATTTTTATTTTTATATTCATGATCTCCATGTTAGAGATTACATGTCCTTAAAAATTGGTGCATCTCAAAAATAGATTTTTGAGAGTTGACTCATTTCTACATAGACTCAGAGAAACCTTGTCCTTGAAATAATATTATCTTGTTAATTGTTTGGTAGAAATATTGTATTGTATATAATATTGTTTTAATTATTCAACTTTTTGACAATTCTCAAGTATTTTTAGTTATTTTAGGCAAAGGATATGTTATTTTTAGTAAATTACTTTGAATAAATAAAAAATAGCTTTTAAGAAAGGACAATGTTTCTAGAGTCGGCCAACTCGCCTATTTAAATTATTCCTCTCTCCCAAATCTATTTTAGAGATGTTTTTTTTATTCAAAATCTTAGAGAAGGAAAAACTCAAAGACGATAAGTAGGAACTTGGAAACAAGTAAATTTTAAAAATAAAAAACTAACAAAGTTTGATAGATTTTTAACAACGTCGATTTTAAAGTTTTTGGGGCTACCATTTCTAATATCCATGTCCATAATAGATGTTACATGCATATAGGACCCTATTGTAAAAGAGTGTCCCGCCCAAACTACTTATCCTTTAACAAAACAAACTTATATGTAAAGAGTGTATAGGAACATACAACACAACTCATTCATACAAAAGTGTAACTTGGGAGAATTTCTTTTATCCAAATTTATATTCCATATAAGTATCATCAAATAACTATTTTCATAAAAAGAAACATATTTAAAGTTCATAAACACTCAGATCTTGCCCTTCAAAATTTGGATGGTTCTTTTTCAATATTGGGCATTAGTTTTTTTTAAACACATGGATAGTCCTCCTTTATATTTTCCCTTTTTTTCTCTTTTTTTTGAAGTTTGCTATTAGGTTTTAGGAGATACATCCCCAAACCATGGGGTAAAAAAATATACATTGATATGAGTTTTACCCTAAGGGAGTAAATGGACAATACACTCAAATTGGAGTAGCAAATATTTCACGTATAGTTCCATGATGGACACTGCCAAACAACAAATAATCCATTAATAACATTAATTTTATTGAAGCAATGAAATATCAATGGCCCGAGTACATCCAGAAAAGCCCAAAGACCATTTATCTTTAATATGAGGAGGTCATTGTCATTCCTCCTCATATATGAAGTCTAATTGTTTTGGGTGCACAATGTGGCACGGGTACATCTTGAAAAGCCCTAAGCCCACTTATTTTTAGTATGAGGAGGTTACAATCATTCATCCTCATATGTGAAGTCTAGTTGCTTGGGCTATATATATATTTGAAATTCAAACGGATCAATGTGTGCTTTCAGATACCATATTTTACATTCAATAATAGAGGGTGATTGTGACTTCTTTGTGTCAAAGCTGAATAACTTTCTTATATACATATTTCTTAAAATCATTGCTGCCCTATTTTACATTCAGTAGTAGATGGTGATTGTGACCTCATTGTGCTAATGTGTAACAACTTTCTGATACATTTCTCTATTTCTAAAAGATAAAATACAGTGGGACCATTTATTTTCGATACAAGGACGTCACTATTATTTCCATCAGATGTGAAATGTAATAGCTTGGGTGTATCACAAAGTTAAAAAAAAACTCATGTGAACTTTGTGCATGATCAATAGAATAAATGCAACCATCAAATTTCATATATAATAGTCTCATTGTATACTTTTATTGTGACCACCTTGTACCAAAATTAAATGGTCTCATTGTATACTTTTATTTATAGAAATCATTGCTCAAAAAACACAAAGAAAACCTCACACAATTAGGATGTTTTGAAGGTTGATAAACCAACATCTATTATGACATTGTTTTTGTTTTTTAGTAGCTCAAGGAAATTAACTTACGATGTATATGTTATAATCGTGTACCACTTACCACTCATGCCCAAATACAATTCTACTACCATGCTATCCTTTTTGTATTGCCAAACTATCAAGATGGATTTCAACCAACAAAAAATTCTCATACAATCCTCTTTATTTTTTAAGGGGATAAGGTATAAAATATATGAAAAACAAGGTTGTGTGGAGAACCAACAAATGTCAACCTCTCCAACATGTTAAAAGACTAGAGGGGAAATATTGGTTTGCTATTAGCTTTTTACTTGACAAAGTATAATGACAAAATGATTGGATTCAAATAAAAAATAGTGAAAATAATGGATTAAAAGCTAAGTAATGTCATATTGAGTTTCATTTCTACCACGGGGAGATGACTCTTTCACTATTGATTAGCCAAAGAATAAAAAATTATAAAGATATATGTTATAAGAGAGAAAACAACTTTAAGTTGTCTCATTTGATACAGCGTTTAAAAATTCATTGATCCAATAGGGAGTCACTCAAGTCACATAGTAGCAAAATGCACATGCATTGCGTGTGTATTATAGAAGCAAAATGTATTATAAAAAATCACACAGCCTGGGTCGAGAGAAATAAATATTTTATTGCCTTATAGTAGACTTCTTTTGTTGAATTTGTGAGAGAAAATATTTCTCTGTATTCAATAATAATCATAGGACTACAATATAATTGTGTATTTATAAAGAGTGTACAACTAATACTTACTAAAACTATAGGATACAGTTTCTATATAGAAATCGCATACAATTGGACACTGACAGATCTCAATATCCAGTTGCCATATCTGTTTTAGTTGTCATGTCTGTTCACACTACCCCTCAAACTTGAGATGACTTGAGAAGAATCATTGTGAGTTTTAAAAAAAACTGTGAGAAAGGACGCAGCGGATGAGACTTAGTGAATAAATTAGTGAGTTGTGCTACGGTGAGTACATATGGTAAGGAGATTGTGCATACGATATATTATTATCGAACATAGTGGCAATCAACTTCAATATGTTTTGTGCGCTCATGGAATTTCGGAGTTTTAGAAATACAAATGACACTCTTGTTGTCATAATAAAGTGTAGTAGGAGCAAAGATAGTGACACCCATGTATGCGAGCAGCCAACGTAGCCAGACAATTTCGTTGGTGGTTTGTGTCATAGCCCGGTATTCAGCTTCCACGGTTAATTGAGCAATTCGTTTATGTTTATTGCTTTTCCAATAGATGAGAGAATCACCGAGAAAAATACAGAATCGTGTGGTAGATCTGCAATCACTCGAATTTCCTGCAAAATCAGAGTCTGTATATGCCTAGAGTTTGAGTGAGGTAGAAGATGAGAAGAATATGGCATGGTGATGGATATCTTTAATATAACAAATGATGCGCAAAACGGCAGCGAGATGTACAGAACGCAGGGCACTACAAAACTGACTAACGATATGTACGGCATAAGCAATATCGGGGCGTGAAATTATTAGATATATCAGTTTCCCAACCAGTTGCCCATAAAAAGCTGGGTCAATAAGAGCTTCTTCATCGGTAGCCCGAAATTTGACATTGACCTCAAGAGGGATGTAAACTTTTTTTGTATCATTCTAGAGTCGAGCTTGAGAAACAATTTTTGAAATATATTTCAGTTGTGATAACATATAACCACGAGGAGAATATGCAACTTTTAGTCTAAGTAAATATCACAAGAAACCCAGATCTTTCATTTCAAATGTGCTATTGAGTTTCTGTTTGATTTTAT